AAAGAACAGGAACTTCATTTTACAATCTTAGAGAATCTTACAAAAAAATTAACTATTATTTATGTATAAAGTCCTCTAAATTAGTGTTAAAAACCTTTTACAATGTGGTTTTACTTTAGTCAAGGATTTAATTAATAGAGAATTTAGACGAGTTATTTTCCTTTTCAAGGTACATTTGAATGTGTGAGTGAAACTATGTACAGCCATCCCACCATATCTGTGGGGGATTGGTTCCAGCTTCCCACCATCTGAAACACCAAAATCTACTCAAGTCCTTATACAACATGGCATGGTATTTGCATATGACCTGCACACATCCTCCTGTATACCTCAAGTCATCTCCAGATTACTTCTAATATCTAATATAATATAAATGCTAAGTAAATAGTTGTTACACTATTGTTTAGGAGGAAATGACAAGAAAAAAGGCTTTGTATGGATGCAACGTTTTTTTGTTGTTGTTGTTTTTTTGGTTTTTTTTGGTGATGGGGATTGAACTCAGGGCCTTGTGCATGTGAAGGCAAACACTCTACCAACTGAGCCCCTAGAAACCTTTTTTTTTTTTTAAATGTTTTTATTAGTCAATAGTTTTTGTTGTTGTTGTTGTTGTTTTGGTACTGGGGATTGAACCCTGAAATGCTTAACCACTGAGACACATCCCCAGCCCTTTTTATTTTTTAATTTAAGATAGGGTCTTACTCAGTTGCTTAGGGCCTTGCTAAGTTACTGAGGCTGGCCTCTGGCCTCAAACTTTTGATCTTTTTGCCTTAGCCTCCTAAGTCACTAGAATTACAGGTGTGTGACCACACATAGCCCAACAAAGGAATCTTAAGCCTCCTATGAAACCTATAGAAATTAGACAAAACCAATGTCTGAAAATATATCGTAAATTATATTGTTTTCATTAAGCAATCAGGTGTATGTTATATATATCCTGGTGATAAATCTTATCTAATAAGCATGTGCACCAGTCCAAGATGGAATGAAAATAAATTAACATTTATAAGGAATTATAATTTTCGTTTCAGGGATTCTAAAGTTTGATTCACCACAAAATACAGAGAACTTCCATTTTATTTATTATTTATTATTTTTTAGTTGTATATAAACACAATACCTTTATTTTATTTATTTTTATGTGGTGCTGAGGATAGAACCCAGTGCCCCATCTGTGCTAGGCAAGCACTCTACAACTGTGGTGCAATCCCAGCCCAGAACTTCCATTTTAGTTTCAAGTGAATATGGAAGATATTAGAGGTTATTATGGAGACCATAAAAGCACCTTTCTGTGTTTCAGTAATTAAAAGCAAATCTTTGTTTAGTTTTCAAAAGTCTACCAAGCAAAAACATTTAGTTTCAGTTCCTGTTATAATTCCTTTCCCCCAATCTACCATAGTCATTAACAACATTATACAGAAATGATCCACAACTTCATCAGCCTTAGTGTCTCCACAAGTTTCCATACAAAGTCAACTACAATCTCTTCTATAAGTGCCAATTTTTAAGAAAGTGACTAAATCAACTATTGCAGGGAGTTGAGCTAAGAAATAAAAAATGTCCTGGACATGAACCTAAGGGACAGGCAAGAGGAATTTTCAAGTTGTGTGTTTCACAAGGGACTGTTAAACAAAATTATGGGAAGCCAATTGTTTGGCTTGAACTCCTGCATGAGGCCTCAACAGACCAAACCAAAACAGAATCACTTAAAAATAGCATAATCAAACTGAAATGTTAAGGAAGCAGAGAGATCCCAAAACAGATCAGTTTTTCCTAAAAACAAGATTTCAGTTTACCTGAGTGACTGATAAGGAAGGTCTCTGTTTAGCCTTTTTAAAAAAATAAATAGCCTGACCAGACATGGTGGTGCATGCCTGTAATCCCAGGAATTCAAGAGGCTGAGGCAGGGGTGGGGGATCGCAGTTTCAGCAACTTAGCAAGACCCTGTCTCCAAACAACGACACAACAAAATGTCTGGGATGTAGTAACCCAGTGCCCCTGGGTTCAATCACTGGTACAAAAACAAAACAAAACAACAACAACCCTGAACTAACGTGATGTTGGCCAGTTGTTTTCCATTGTTGTTTCTTTGTTCCCATCTTAACAACCCACTCTTCTGCTATTTATTGCGCAGTTGGAGCTCTCATTCTATCTTATAGCATGGAGGCTGCCCCAATTCATGATTCTCAAGTGAAAAAGTTAAAAATCAATTATAATTAAATTAGTCCTTATTATTATTTTTTTAAATGGTGGTACTGAAGTCTTGAATTAATTTTGAGTCAGGGTGTTGCTAAGTTGCCTAGGCTAGCCTGGAACTTGCAATCTTTCTGCATCAGCTTCCTGGGTTTACAGGGGTTTGACACTGCCAGAATTCTGTCTTCTCACAGGACAAAATTCACCCTATAGGGTATACCAAAGAATGCTAGTCCTAAGTGTTGTTCCACAAAATGTGTAGGAAAAATTATTCATGATATGTAGAATATTTTTTAAAAGCTGAGGGATTCTACAATCGTCCCCTCCATACCCAATATATCTGTAACTTTAATAAAATTGTTTAATATTTGACTTCACAATCCTTCTGGCCCACTAATAGTCTGCAACGTTAATGTGTCTCATAGTTAACTGAGAAACCATGTAAATTCTGGGTAATGTGCCATTGCTTTAGAATCTATTAAAAAATTATGTAGTAGGAGAAATCCATCAAGGCAACAGGCAGAAAACTACTCAGGTGATATTTACTATATAACATATATATGTAAAGAAAATGCAAACAATGTTAACACAAAAGGATGCTTAGTTATTTTTACTGGCATGACAAAAGCATAATGCACATATACAGTTTACCAAATTTGTTTGAGGGCTGGGGATGTGGCTCTAGCACGCTCCCCTGGCATGTGCCGGGCGCTGGGTTCGATCCTCAGCACCATATAAAAATAAAGATGTTGTGTCCACCAAAAACTAAAAAATAAATATTGAAAAATTCTCTCTTTAAAAAAAAATTTGTTTGAGAATTGTGTGCTTGTGTGTGTGTGTGGGGGAGGGGGGGCTGATCAAATCCAGCATCTCATGCATGCTAGGTAAGCACTCTACCACGGGGCTATATCCTCAGCTCATTAGATAATTTCTTCATTCCTCTACCACCACTTCACCCAGACCCTTTTCACTAGAATGGTGCTAAGTGTAAATCTCTCCCAAGGCGACCTTCCTTATTATGTCTATTTTTTTCTCATCTAGTGCTTCCTAAACTTAGTATTCATATGAATCACACAGGGATCTTGTTAAAAATTCAGTCTTTGGAGTTAGGGTCTGAAATTCTTCATTTCTAACAAGATCCCAGGTAATAGTGATGGAACCACATTTTGAGTAACAAAGATCTAACTCATTCTGCAAGCCATTGCCACTTTATTGTTCCTAAAAATCACTGCTCACATATTACTGCCTCAAGAATCCACTTTCACTCTGTGAATTATGTATAAACCTCTATACTCAATACTAGTCCAGAATTTCATCTGGACAAACCTGACTTTCCTACTTCTATATTTGTTGTAACCCAGCTCTGTTTTTTAGTTGCTATTTTGTTTTTGAGATAAAATATACATATGGCACTGTACATGTTTTTTTAAATATTTTTTTTAGTTGTCAATGGACTTTATTTATTTATATGTTGTTCTGATAATCGAACTCAGTGCCTCACACATACTAGGCAAGTGCTCTACCACTGAGCCACAATCCCAGCCCAGCACAGTACAGATTTTAAATGTAGAATTCAATCCGTTTTGATAAATGAACATCCAAGTAACCACTACCCCCTCAAAAAATACAAAACCAGTCCCATGTTTTGGCCCAATGCTATAAATACCTCCATGAAGACTTCTTTCCTTTCTTCAAAGCACACCCCCAAATTCACTCATACCTTCATCTAAATGATTATCACTTTTAAGGCCCAAATATCTACATCTGTGTCTCGAATCTTATGCCCCTCTCTCCCCATATTTTTTTAATATATATATTTTTAGTTGTGGATGGAAACAATACTTTTGTTTGTTTTTATGTGGTGTTGAGGATCAAACCTAATGCCTCACACATGCAAGGCCAGCGCTCTACCACTAAGCCACAACACCAGCCCTCCTTCCCAGTATTTTATCCACAGAGTTGTCAGAGTGATCTTTTAAAATTTTAAGTCAAATCGGTTTAAAACCTCCAATGGCTTACTGTCACACTTGTAATAAATTCAAACACCTTTTCCTCCTCTAACTTCATATTCTGCTGCTTTCCTGATTTCTTTCTGTGCCCTGGTCATATGGAACTTCCTCCTGGTCCTACAATACAGAAAGATTTTCCTACCTTAGAGACTGTGCATGAATTATTATCCTCCCTATTGTACCCATCACTTTTATGACTGGCTACTTTTTGTCATTCAGTTCTCAACTTCAAAGTCATATCTTCACAGGAGGCTTCCCTGACAAAAAATCTCAAGTATATACTCAGTTACTTTAAAAAAAAATCCTACTTTAATTCTCCACACAGCATCTATCATTAGTATATATGTTCTTTATGTGTTTGTTATTATCTTTTCTCAAACTCTGAGCTATATCCCTAGTATAAACTCTAGCTGGGGATATGGCTCAGTTGGTAGAGTGCTTGCCTTGCATGCACAAGGTCCTAGGTTTGATCCCCAGCACCAAAAAAAAAAAAAAAAAAGCATAAATTCCATGACTACAGAACTTATTAATAGTGTTCACTGTGATAACTCCTGCATCTAAACACTGTCCATCTCATTATAAGTAGATCTTCAACAAATGTTTTCTATATAAATATGTGAACATGTATGATATACATTCATACTATGAAGATGGAAATTGTGCCTGGTTTTCCAATACATAATCTCTCATGGGATCTAAAAAGGATAAAAAGCTATTGCTATTAATCAAACAAGATAAGTCCTTCAAATGAAAGAAAGGGAAGGAAAGAATTACTGTTTTAACTTGTTGCAAAAATAAAACACAGGTTAAATCAAATTTTAATTCACATAAATTTTTAATCAGTCAAGTTAATGAAAATATCAAAATTTCTGAGTTAGTGTATGGCAGCGGAAGTTTAACTTTTGTTGGAAATAATACAGTATTTGGTATTTCCATCATCAACAAGCTATGCTGCAGAAAGAGCAATTGCATTAAATCTTAATTCATCAGGGTCACGTTCCATAAACTTCTTGCAAACTTCTATGGCATCCTATGGGGAAAAAAAAAGTATAACTTTTCAGTTTTTAAATATATGTTTTACCTATGAATGATAAATAAGAATTTCATATTTTTTCTGGTACTAATTTTATACTGCAGACTTATTTTTCCAAATAAAAAATACAAAACACCAAAAGACGGAACAGTTGGTGGCCCAACTTGCTTAGTACAAAAGTGTAAGATATAGCAATTATTCTTTCTTAAAATTTTTACCTTTTAACCTGAAAATTACATATTTCACTGATTCTAAGCAACTTGAAAGAAGACTGAATATATATGATATATATTCATACTATGCAGATAGAAATTATGCCTGGTTTCCCAGTACATAATCTCTCCTGGGATCTAATAAGGATAAAAACAGCTATTGCTAGTAATCAAACAAGATAAGTCCTTCACAAGAAAGAAAGGGATTTAAAATCTTATAAAATCTCTAAAATTTGGATCATGATACAACTCATGGTATCTTGGACTCAAATATAGGATATAGTGAATGACTCTTTCAATACTATTCTTGTCTTTTTTAAATTTAACAATTGTTCACATAAAACACAAGCAACCTCCTTAACTGTTGTAGATTTTAAATACTAATTCAAATTTTTGTTTTTTAGATTTTCTGAAAAGAGCAAGGACAAAGAAACATCCAGACTCAGAGAAAATATTATACAAATAATCTTTAGAGATGTCTTAAAGATGATAAGAATATCATTTATACTCAAAATAGGCCAACATGTTTTATCATTACCTCTAATAAAGTTTCATCACTAGTTTTCCCATGGTTAATTGGAAATGGTTTCCGTCCATCTGTGGAAAATAGACAAAAAGTTGAATGCTTAGCTGTTTTTACAAGATAATGGACTTTACCTCACACTTTCCTCTTCCTGAGACAAGAAAAGTTAAAAGATACATCCTAAAACAAATATTTTAAATGTGTAACCATGAATATTTTTTAACATTAAAGGTTAACAGAATACTCATTCATTCATTTTGCAGTACTGGGTATGGAACCCAGGGCCTCACACAGGCTATGCAAGTATTCTACTAATGATTTAAATCCCTGGTCCTTTTTAGAAGTTTTTTTATTTTGAGGCAGGGTCTCACCAAGTTGTTGGGGGTGGCCTCAAACTTTCAATCCTCCTGCCTTAGCTTCCTGAGTGGCTGGGTTTATAGGTATATACCACCATGCCTGACCAAGAATATTCTTAGCACCTTGTTTCCACATTTAAAAGCCTAAATTATTTTTATGAATAGAATTTATTATAAATGAATATTGGTTTTAACTTCCTGAAAATATGTAAAATTAGTAATTTTGGGGGAAATTATGAACTCAGTTTTTATCCTCAGAAATATAAAAGATATGTATTTTTGCTTTAAAACTAAATCAGAAGATCTTAAGTAAGACTGTCAAGTTTTTTTTAATGAAGGGAGTTATACTGTCATAGCTTATGTATTATTACTAACTATGTACCACAAACACTGTAATATAAAGCAACAATTTAAATAACCTACAATTATTTTACTGACCACCAAAACAACTAACCAAATTGACAATCATCTTGAATAAGCTGGTACTTTTTTAATATTATGAAAAAAATAAAAAGTCCAGAATCATAAAAATTCTTATTAACCCAAAGTTAAATGATACTACCTTTTATGCAAATGTATCATCTTAGATGTCTAATTTAATTGGTACTTAATCAAGTTCAATCCACAAAACACAGTATTTTCTTATAATACCATGGTTTCTAAACAATAAAAATTTCTGAATCAGGGCTGGGATTGTGGCTTAGTGGTAGAAAGCTTGCCTAGCATGTGTGAGGCACTGGATTCGATCCTCAGCACCACATAAAAATAAATAAATAAAACAAAAGTATTGGGGCTGGGATTGTGGCTCAGTGGTAGACCACTCGCCTAGCATGGGCAGGACCCGGGTTTGATTCTCAGCACCACATTAAAAAAAAATAAAATAAAAAGGCATTGTGTTGTGTCCATCTACACCTAAAAAATAAATATTAAAAAAAGAGTTTAAAAAAAACAAAGGTATTGTATCCATGATTTACAACTAAATATATATGTGTATATTTTGAAAATTTCTGAATCAATATGCACAACAATAGACTTGGATTAACAGATACTACTATTAAAGAAAAACAAGAGTGAAAATGAACAGATATAAATTTCCATGTAAAGTGACATTAATTTAATCATATCATCAGAATACATGCTGCATATTTTTGGACTAAGACATGTAGTTTCAAAATGCTAAAGAAATAATATCCTTACATTACAGTGCCTGGGACTTAATTCTTCTTCTTCTTCTTTTTTTAAATTTTTTAAAATTATAGTTGAACACAATACCTTATTTTATTTACTTTTATGTGGTGCTGAGGATTGAACCTAGTACTTCACATGTGCTAGACCAGTGCTCTACCACTGAGCCACAACCCCAGCCCTTAATCCTTAAAGTCTGTAAAAACCAAAAGGAAATACTTTCCTCTAAGTAAATATTACGTATGAATGCTTAGTTATCCATATTTCTACAAAACATATTCTCTTTATTAATTGCATTATATATTTCTTAATAATACATCATAGAACAACTCCTTAAAATATCCTTTTCTAGCAAAAGCTTATTCCTCAGTAGCTCATTATTCTAAAGTTATAAGACTCTATTACATTCTTTATGTGCTACCTTCATTTTATATTGTTTTATCTTTTAATTTTTACATAAAAGCAAAAGTATAATAAACATTGTAGGCTACAGGTTTTCCCTCCTTTCTTTTTTTTCTTTTTGATACTGAGGACTGAACTCAGGGGTGTTTTACCACTGAGCTACATCCCCAGACCTTACTTGCAATTCTCCTGCCTCAGCCTCCCAAGTTGCTAGGATTACAAGTGTGAGCCAGTATGCCTGGCTGGTTTCCCTTTCTTAACAAAATTTTTTATGTATGTATTTTAATTATTTATTTTTCCTGGTTCTCATCACTCATTTCTTCATTCATTAGAACCTACTAAGTGATTTTCTTTCATATGCAGATGTTGTTTAATGTAGAATTACTTTCAAACATTATTATAGACTAAGATTATTAAATAATTGATCTTGAAATGTCAAAAGAATATAAACAAAATGAAAGCATGTACTATTTTGTTATAATAACAGTTTAGAGCAAAGATTAATTATGATTTTTATTATGTTTCTAGTCTTGAGGTTGTGCTAACAATAACCAATGGTACAAATCCAGCCCCTTAGCCTATTTTTATACCTTCCTTAAAAGTGGTTTTTACATGTTGAATAAGAAAAAAAAAACAGAAGAAGGAGGAGAAAGAGAAGGAGAAGGTGGTAAAGGAGGAGGAGGAGGAGGAGGAGGAGGAAGAGGAGAAATGATAAAACAATAAACAAAACCTAAAACATTTGTTACCTAGTCCTTTAGAAAAAAATTTGCCAAAACATTAAAATGTAAAAATTGCCATTGTTTGGTTGGAACAATGGCAGTTTTTACATTTTAATGTTTTACATTTTAATGTTTTGGCAAATTTTTTCATAGACCATGAAACTTCCATTTCCCAACTACTTTGGGTGTAATTTAAGCAAATGCCTATCCTAGAGAAGAACAAATGAGGTTAGAGACCATCACACCATACAGGGCCTTTTAAGACCAGTAAAAATCTGTATATCTTGTACATGGGTCCAGTAACTAAGACCCTGCAACTTTGGTCCAATTGGGTTGTTCCACTTATAGGCTGGATAGGAAAGAAGATAGCAGCCTAGTTCATTAGCAGTGGCTAACCAATTCATTCAGATCTTGTCTTTTGGATAATCTGATCACAAGACCCCAGAGATAGCTGCAGGCAGCAGAACTGTACAAAAGATCTTATAAACACCATAAAACAAATGAGAAAGCCTAGTATAAAATATCCTCAGATATCCAAGATATCCAAGGCTAATCTCAGATATCCAAGGACATCAATGATGGAGCTCATAAAACTATACAAAAAAATAAAAACTTTGAAAAACACTGCCTAAGTGTTAAAATGTGAGAACAGCTAGGTGTGGTGGTGTTCCCAGGGACCCTGGAGGCTGAGGCAGGAGGATCACAAGTTTAGTAAGCCTCAGAAATTCTGCAAGACTCTCAGTAAGCTCTTAGTGAGCTCCTGTCTCAAAATAAAAATTAAAATAGATTGGGGATGTAGCTCAGTAGTAAAAGGTTCAATCCCCAGTACCATAAATTCAGAGAACAGTGGGCTGAAAGTATAGCCCAGCAGTAGAGTGTAAGCCTAGCATGCATGAGGCCCTGCACCAAAAATAGATAATAAATTAATTCATTTAAGTTTTTTAAAAAATCAGAAAACTAAAGAGTTCTTTAAAATTAGAAATATGATAAAAGGATTTAGAAATTTGTAACAGATTGGAAGAAAAGTTCCAGAGACCAAAACAAGAGACTATGATATACAGGAAAGAAAAGTTAAGGAATTCCAGAAAGACAGAATAATGAAAAAGAGAAATCCAATGGAAAAAACAAATAATTCCCACATTGAAACACAAGAGTTTCTAGATTGAAAAGATCCCCTGAAGCCCAAAATTATTGATATAAACAGACCCAAGCAAGACATATCATCAATAAAGAGAAATACCATGATGATAATGTATACAAGGCATAGAACAGAAAAGAGAGCACTGAGAGAGGTATCGCCAAGAAGGCAAAGTTAATAGAACGCCAGATGTTCCAATTTTAAGTATTGAGAGACTCAGACCAGTGAAAAAGAGCCCAGGAGAAACTTAGCATTAAGTACATTAAAATAAATAAATAAAAATTAAAAAGTCAGGCATAGTGGCACCAATAATCCCAGCAACTTGGAAGGCTAAATCAGGAGGATCCCAAGTTTAAGGCCAGCCTGGTGAATTTAGTGAGACCATCTCTCAAAATAAAATATAAAGGGGTTGGGATGTAGTTCAATAGTCGAGTAACACACACACACACACACACACACACACACACACACACAGCAAAATAAAACCATTATTAACTGGAGAAATAAAAAGGAAAAAAAAGTATGTTATGGCTCAGCTGAGAATAATGTTTCTGTGGTAAAGATAAACAACAACCCTAAGTATCCTGGGAGAATAGCAAAAAGAAAAGTGTGCATTTCTTTGTGATTGAGAAAGAGAAATAACTAAAGAGGACAATAAAAGAAAGCTAAATCCTTATCTTCCATTTGGAGAATTCAAGAAATAAAAATTAGGCAACTACTATCTCCAGCCATTATGGAACTATTGGTGTTAGATAGGGCTTCCACTAGAAACAACTAAAAGCCTAGGCAAAAAATAAGCCTAGACTTATTTTTAGACAATGGGGAACAAACTGCCCATAACTATAAGTACATCCTACAATAATACTAGCTTTCTTCTAGGAAACATTTACTGAACACCACTGCAGAAAAGAGACACTCAAACACAGCACAACTATTTCAATGAGTTAAAGAGAAAGAGAATGGAATTCAAGGAGGCTAAGGCAGCTGAAATTTGCAAATGACCAGAAAGCAAGCTCTGGAGAGCTCTTGATTTCTCTGGGACAGGCCAGGATTGGTGAGGCAGATGAAGGTGGTAAGCAGTGGGACTGGTGTGGCCAAGAGGTTGTTTGCGACTGGTGTGGCCAAGAGGTTGTTTACATAAAGGGTGAATGGATAAACCAGAAAATACACAAGGGTCATGGGGACGAGATTTTTCAGCTTCAGAAAAGAGTCACAAATGTGGAGAAGAACAAAAGAATAAATCTATGGCATTACATTAGAAATAGAAGTGTTTTGGTGTTTTTTGTTTATTTTGTGATGTTGAGGAATCAACCCTGGGCCTCATGCATGCTAGGCAAGCACTCCATCATTACTGAGCTACAAGTTCAGCAAAGAATGAGAAGTATTAATATAAATGAATAATTGTTAATATACAGAGGCTAGAAATACATGTAATCGTGTGCATGCATACCCATATTCACATATGCATGTGTTTATATATAGTACATAAACATGTTTTCTAGCTGTATTCTCTGGGAGGGCTTAGAAGTATTGATACCTTACTAGCAGTGAGAACATCCAGTATGCTAATCTTGGTTCTAAACACTATTTTACATTAAAAGGAACACAGGTTCCTTAGAGAAGAGGCTAAATATAGGACAAACAGAACAGAAAATAAAAGAAGAGACTGGAGCATCCTGTTTCAACTGAAAGAAACTACTCAAAGAGTAACAATGACATATCAACAAGATGCAAGACTCAGCTTCTCTTCAAAGGCCAAGTCTGGGATGAATTCAGCATCAAAATATGAAATGTAATATCTTCAAGCCCTTTTTTCTTGCTTTATTTTTTAATGTTTTATTGCTTTATGAAAATGTTTAACCCTAATAACCCTCTAGATGACCTATACTATGTAAAGAAGCAATTGCCCTTAAACTGTACTCTGGCTTACTTTTCTATTTTACAATTAAATATCTTTTCCACATTAAAAAAAAAAAAATATATATATATACACACACACACACACACACACACACATACATACATGGAATGTAATGGGCTGTAACTTTTTAAGTAAAGTGTGAGTTCGGGGGCTGGGGATGTGGCTCAAGCGGTAACGCGCTCGCCTGGCATGTGTGGGGCACTGGGTTCTATCCTTAGCACCACATAAAAAATAAATAAATAAAAATAAAAAATAAATAAAGATGTTGTGTCCACCGAAAACTAAAAAATAAATATTAAAAAAATTCTCTCTCTCTTAAAAAAAAAAAGTGTGAGTTCATTCTGACATAGATGAGTGAATGAATGAATGGGAAAAAAATGACATTGGAGAAATGTATTTTTTTTTCTTTTTAAAAATATTTATTTTTTACTTTTAGGTAGACATAATATCTTTACTTCATTTTTATGTGGTGCTGAAAATAGAACCCAGTGCCCCACGCATGCTAGGCAAGCGCCACTTGAGCCACATCCCCAGCCCCTGGAGGAATGTATTTTAAAAATCACCTTAGGAAGGAAACAAGAATGTAAAGAAAGAGCTTACAGAATGGAAGAAAATCCTGGCTAGCTACTATTTTGACAGAGGATTAATATGCAGAATACCAAAAAAGCAAATAACCCAATTAAACAGACACTTTTCAAAAGAATATATACAAATGGCCAACAAATATACACCATTAGTAATTAGGGAAATGGAAATCAAAACTACCCTGAGATTTCATCTCACTCGAATCAAAATGCCACCATAAAGAATACAGACAAGTGGAGAGGATGTGGAGAAAAGGAACTATTTTACACTACTCATAGGATTGTTAATTAGTACAACCACTATGGAAATTGGCATAGAAGTGCCTAAAAATATTAGCAATAAGTCAGATGTGGTGGCACACCTGTAATTCCAGTGGCCTGAGAAGCCGAGGCAGGAGGAACACAAGTTCAAAGCCTCAGCAACTTGGCGAGGCCTAAGCAATTTAGCAAGACCCAGTCTCAAAATTTAAAAAGGGCTGTGGCTGTGTTAAGCATCACTGGGTTCAATCTTTAGTACCAAAAAAAAGAAAAAAGAATAGGATATGACCCTGCTGTTCACTCCTGTTTAATTCTTAGAGAATTAAAGTCATCATACTATAGCAAAACATGCATATCCATGCTTATAGCAGCATAATTCATAATAGCCAAACTACGGAACAAACCTAGGTGTTCATCAATGGTTGAATGAATAAAGAAAATGTGGTATCTACACATAATGGAGTTTTATTCAGCCATAAAGAAGAATGAAATGAAATTATGTCATTTGCAGGAAAATGAATGTAACTTGGAGAACATTATGCTAAGCAAAATAAGCCAAACTCAGAAAGCCAAGAGTTATGTTTTCTCTCATATGTGGCAACTAAAGAGGAAAAAGGAAAAGAAAGGTCGGAATGGATCTCACTGAAGGGAGATCAGTAGAGTAGAAGAAAGAAACCAGGAATAGGGAAAAGGCAGGGAAAGGGGAAATACTAGGAAACGAAATTGGCCAAACTGTATTGTTAAGATTGTGTGCATGTACAAATATGTAACAACAAATCCCACCATTATTTACAACCCATATGTGCCAATAAAAATATGGGCAAAACAAGAAAAACAAAAAGTGGCATATTAATACATACACAACAAATGAGAGGTAAGAAAACTAAAGATCACAGCATGCAGAATTACTGAAAAGAACATCCCCTTTTTGTTTCTTTATTTGTATTTTTTTTAACTCAGAAGGTCCTATAGAGAGGCATAAGACTCATAATTATAAGATTATGTACACCAATCATGAAACATATATAAGGAGTTTCTTCCATCTGAATAACTCAGTTAAAATTATGAGTATTTCCTGGCATATGCCCTGAAATAGTCCAAATAACAGTAACATTAAAAGAAAACAAAAAAGTTCAGACATAGGCCAAAACATCAAGTAACTAATTATGGTACTTTGACATAAATCCAAAGGAACCATTACCAGAAACCAGAGACCTGTAAAATCTTTTTTAAAATCAGATAGCCTACCATAGGGACAGTATAATGGATTAAAAACTAGTAATATTTGTTATTGAATACAAAACCTGGTCTTGATGAATATTACACATATCTTTCAAAAATAAAGGCAGTTCACCCAGATATTTTCAACAAGTAACTCAATAATTTAATAAGGATGATTTCCAGAAGTTTCCTGTAATGATTACTTTTCTGCTTTGCTAAAATGCAAAGACAGTATGTAAACTTTCTTGAATTATAAGATACTTGAACATCAAAACAATTATTTTTTCTTAAAAAATATTAAAAGGAAAACTGCCATTATGTAAACTCAATTTTATAGGGTAATCAATTAATTTAAGTAAACACAATATATATCAGCAGTCCTGTTTATCATAAATAGAAACTTTCCCATTTACCATTTTTCTCCCCAAGATAAATTAAAATAGTTCTTACCTAATTCATAGAGGTGCCCATCTACATGTACTAATGCAATAAAATGAAGATCTACTTTTTCATCTATACTTGGTGCCTGAAATAGGAGGGAAAAATACGTATTATATACATTAGTAGTCAAACAAATCAAGGGCATATATACATACACAAATAATACCAAGTGACTGAACATTTATCCAATATAACTCAAGGCTTAATCCTTGATATGATGGACAGAGTGACCATGCTTGTGACAATGTGTTCATCCATCAATAAGGAAAACACAAACTAAAAGCATATTTCTCTTAGTCTCAATTGATCTAAGTCTTGTTTACCTTAGAAGCCCTACTGTCAGCACAATGCCTGGTATATTGTATGTACACAATGCATACTTGTTTGAGTAAAATGAATGTATGAATGAATTGTGTAATTTTTAAAATTTAAAAGCCTTGGGTTTTAATAATTCATAAACAACTAAAGCAACACAAGTTAAAATTTAAGACATCAAGAAAGCTAGTTGGGCTGTCATATTTAACAAATTAGGATAAATAAATAAATGTTAAAAATAAAATAAGACATTTAATACAAAAATAAAAAGACTAGGAAACAAAAACAAAAGAAAGCTAGCTGGTTTCCTTAATGATTTGAATTTAATAATACCATTTTTTGAACAATGTGGAATAAATAATCATAAAATAAGTATCTGTACTCATTCTAGATTAAAAAGCTTAAAAATGAATAAATGCAGGGAAATACCCTTGAAGACTAAAAGGGGAGAAGAAAAGAGGATAAGAACAAATTAAGATACAATACGGGGCTGGGGTTGTGGTTCAGTGGTAAAGTGCTTCCCTAGCAGATGTGAGGCCCTGTGTTCGATCCTCAGCACCACATATAAATAAATAAATAATAAAGGTATTGTGTCCAAATACAACTAAAAAATACGTTTTAAAAAAAAGATGCAATGAACTGGGCTGAGGTTGTAGCTCAGTGGTAGAGCACTTGTCTCACATGTGTGAGGCACTGGGTTTGATCCTCAACATCACATTAAGAAATCTAACAAATAAAATAAAGGTATTAAAAAAAAGAATTATAAAATAAGAAGAGAGAAATGAAATTTAAAGAAAGGTACAATGAACTGTAGCCAGGACTTTTCTCTTGCTTTTTTTGACTTTTTTTTTTTTTTTTTTTTTTGGTGCTAATGATTGAACCCAGGGCCTTATGTTTGAGAAACAAGCACTCTACCAACTGGCTATACCCCAGCCCTATTTTTTGGACTCTTAACAATTTGAAATTTAAACTATACCTAGGTTTTATTAAATTTACCAATTCAATTTGCATAAGTAATATTTACATATCTTAGACATTCAAATAACTGATGTAAAATTGATACATTGATTAACTGATACTTTCTATGATATGTACAACTAGTACTAATATATGTTAGCTATATATCAAATCTAAGTGATTTGAAATGAAATACAATCACTGTTAAATACAGGTGAAACAAAAATTTTAGAGGTAAAAATTTTCAAAAGGCATAAATTTTATCTTATATCACCTTAAAAGTATTTTGACTTAAAAAATACGCTTTTTTTCATGCTCAATAATAATATATATTTTCTATTAATTATATGTGGAATTTTCTGATGCAGAAATTAAAAGGTAGAGATTAAATATTACTATTTTATTCATTACTGTATTTTATTTTCTAAGATTTATAGAATGCTTCTAAAATATTTGCCAATACAGTGTCTCATCTAATCTCTCAGTGTTCTACTGAGATTATTTCTCTCAAATTATAAATGGAAGAAATTGGCAAATATGGCAAACTAGCTCCTCCTAAGTTCATCAAGAACTAAAGAATTACACAGTAGAAACCAAAGTTTTTATCTAGTTTTACTATTGCACCAACATAAGACTCCTCTCTAGTGTGGTCGGCTATTGTGGTTGCTCCTCAAATGCCTGGTAAATGCAACAAAGTTTTGAGACAGTCCATTCTATCGTTAACACATTTTTGTTAAGAGTTTTCTTACAATGAGACTACAAAAGGTCTCCTGGTATTTTCTTTTTTTTTTAATATTTTTTATTTTTTAGTTATCGGCGGACACAACATCTTTGTTTGTATGTGGTGCTGAGGATCGAACCCGGGCCGCACGCATGCCAGGCGAGCGCGCTACCGCTTGAGCCACATCCCCAGCCCAAGAGTTTTCTTACAATGAGACTACAAAAGGTCTCCTGGTATTTTCAATCATCTTGGAAAAAGACCTAATCCTTCTTTAACACAATAAATTGTTTTCAAATGTGTAACGTCAGTGATAGTGAGTTCCCTTACTTTCCTGGTTAGGGAATAAAAAAAAAAAAAAAATTAGTAATCAGTTAATCCAATACCTTCATTTCATCCATAAATACAGGAGAATCCAATTTTTCAAGCCCAAACCTAGGCAATCTACAAATTACAAATTCATTTCTGTAAGAAAAATGCTAAAAAGAATTCCTTATTAAACTAGGAAAAAAAAATCTTCTTTTATTCATTTTAAGATAATTTTCCAATGACAGTATAAAGGGTTTAAAATCTTTTGAACTATTGTGTTTTCATAAATTATTTTAACATCTTAAGAATTATATACTACACAGCTTTTGTTTTCCATGTTTTGCCAGTAAATACAACCATGCCAGTGGTAAAGACAGTATACTTGGAGTCAGAGAACTAAATACGTGCCCAAATCCAGGAGGCTTGCTTGTGTTTCTATCCATTTAGAGGTTTAAGCAAGATATAACTGTTAAGTGTGTAATCTGTTAAGTGTGTTATAAATCTTATATAATATTACAATATTAATACAAACACTTTCACAAATATGAGCAGTTATCAAAGTAGTGACTCAAAATTTTGTGACATTGTTCCTTTAACCAAAAATGAATACTAAAAATATAAAACTCTACAGTGGGTATGAAAAGCCTTCAAACTATTATAAAAGATTAGTAAAGCTCAAAATGTTTAAGCCTCTACAAAACCTAAATCTTCATTTTAAGACTTTTCCTTTAATCAACTTCAATTAATCTATAATTTGCAATTATTCAACTGCTTAAAAATTATTCCACTAAAACCAAGAATAAAAGAAAATCCCAACAAGTCTTCTGTTGCAAAAAAAAAAAAAAACCAACATATAACTATACAAAAATCATAAAACAGAGGCTACAGATTGGATCATTTGCCTATATTTATATAACTTTAAGTTTCTATTTATATAGCTTTAAGTTTCCTAGTTTAGAATATAATACTTGTCTTGGTTAAAAAGTGATATAACAAATCAATTAGAAATCAAACACTAAGTATAAATTTCACATTATAAAATGCAGTTTAAATTTAATGGTATTTAATATATACCAAGCACTGTTCTAAGTGCTTTTATGTTTTATTGACCAATGAATCATCATACAAACCCAAAAAGGTAGGTAATATGATTTTATCCATGTTACTCTCAAAAAAACTAAGAGAACATTAAGTAAATGTTCTAGGTTACATTGCTAGTAAATGATGGGATTTAGGATAAAATCTAGGCAATGTGACTTCAAAATCTATGTTCTTAGCCACTATGCTATGAAAATACTTATAAAGCTATAAGGAAATAAAATTAATATGTGCAAAGATCAACATTACATAAAACCATAAAACTGGAAATACCAAATTTTATCATGTGCTCATTTACATTTAGAATGGTTTTAGTACAAAAGAAATTATTCCTATGTAGAATTAAATCAATGTACCCCAGTCGGAATTTACAAAATTATGATCTTATTCTATATATCAAGTTCACCTTGTATTCTCACTGTGTTAAACAACATATAGTATAATAGGAAGCAACAAATATCAAATGGATGAATGAATAAAAATGACAAATGAGTACGGTAACCCAATGAGTGTAATGAAATAGAGACACCGTTTGTTGATACTCATCACAAATGGAAGGCTATTTGATGATTTTGCTGATAATTGGTGGAAGCAAATGTTTAAGGAAAAGTGTCAAGACTCCACTTTGCAGTTTGAGTACAGCTCTAGAAGGGTAAATAGGGGGAAGAAAGAATCTTTGACGTCATATTTTAATTGTTTTAAGAGCTAAAATACGTGCATAAGCTTATACTAGCTTCAAAAGTCATGATGATTTATAGAAATGTCAAGTTTCTTATAAATGTATGGCACACAAAGATTTCAGATACTTCATTTTTAGATAGACTCTGCCAAACCACAGTTATTGCCTTTAAAAGTATAGAACATCAGAAAGACAAGAACTGTACTTGCTTAATTCTGCAGTTTATTTCCATTGTCAGAATTATTAGAATTCCATTGTCAATCTCAATATTTAAGATAATTAGGAAGATTACAAGAACAAATGTACTTTTTAATAGTTTGCTAATCTTTTTAGCCTATAAAAGTGAAATTATAAAATTTGCAGGAGGCCTACATTGATACACAGGAGAAAAATCTTCACCTCCTACTTGGAAAAGATCTTCAGAAATTAAATAGGCAGGGAAGATCAAATCAAGATTAAACCAAGTACCTGAGCCACCTCAGGGAATAAAACAGCTTAGATGAAATACCCTACACCATGAAGGATTTAGATTAAGGATAGAGTAAGTAAAGTGACCCCAGAGCATGGCAAGAGACTAATGCTGTACTCAGAAACATGAAAAATAAATAAATAAAGCAATAGATGGCAAAGAACTCAGAAGGAACACAGCATTTGTTGACCCAAGTCAGCTAAATGAAACCAGAAAGCTGAAGGGTAAGAAAACACACATTCACTTACTTTAACAACTGATAGGAACTTAAACATTATCACAAATGTCGATCAGGACTCATCAACAGGCAGGAGCCCTTATTTTTGCAGGGTATGGAGTGGAAAGATGAATGTTCACCAAGGCAGTGGTGAAAGTCAAGCTAGACTGCAAAGCACAGAGTTATGCTTGCAATCTTACTGGGGGAGAAAAAGCTAATGGTTGAGTGAACCAAGAGAAAAGCCCTTTGAAGACTGAAGACGTTTAAGGGGGGAAAATAAAAGGACTGCCCTTGCCACTGGAAGAAGAGATGGAAGATTGACT